TGCCAAAATACTTTCCCAACACAGAACTAACATGTCATCCCTTTACTCAGAACCTTCAGTGGCTCCCCTACTGCCTCTAGGAAAAAAACAGAACTCTCTCAGCCTTTAAGGCTTTTAAGCCCTCTCCAATCGGCTTGGCACCTACCTTTCCAGCCTTATTCCATACCACTCCTCCTCAGGCCAGGCACAATGGCCTGGCAGCGCTTGCCTGAGGGACATTCCATCTCTTGATTCTTGCTTCCATGGAGGGCTTCCTCAGTCTCAATGGGAGCTCTCCCCGCCTCCACCTTGTAGAATCCCAAATTTCCTTTAAGGCACAGCTCAGGTACCTCCTCCTGATGCCCACTTCTGCCCTGTTGAAATTCCTCTGTCTGGACTCTGACCCTTCTCTGGGTGCATGTGTATCTTCCTCCTCTCCTCCCTCCCCCAAGAATGGGAGCTCCTTGAGCTCTCCCTTAATAGTCAGAAACATTTCATCTTCGTATGCACGCTGACACTGTGCTTTACACAGTTGCTGCTTGATAACCGTGCGCTGAGCTGGACTGAATTTGTGCCCTTCTCCCAAAGCGATTGTAACTCCAAAGAATAGTGGACGTGAACTCTCCTGCCTTTTCCCATAAATGACTATGAAAATGGGAGATTATTCAGGTAACTGAGGAGGAAAACACTGCCAAGAATGGATCTGAATCTTCTGGATTACTGGCTGAATTTTTCATCTGACCCAATCAATAAAAAAGTTATTCTCTGGCACTATCTCGTCAGCTAGAAACACAGAGGCTGTAAGTGCAGAACACACTCAACAGAAGAGGGCGATGTCCACAAATCTTGGCCCATGTGCACTGAACAGTTTGATAACTGGCTACTTTAACAACATAATTTAAAAAAGATCTTTCACAGAAAATATTTTATGTGGTGTTTTTGAATCACTCTCACTGTCTCTCTATAAATTTCTTTTCAAAGATCTCATTTTATGTCTATAGCCTATATTCTCATTAATGTCGTAGGAAGGAAAGCAGCATTTATTAAGTGCCTACTATATACCAGGCATTATGCTAGGTGCTTTACAGATGTTGTCATTTGATCCTCACAACTTTGTGAGAGAGGTGCTATTATGACCTCCATTAGAGGAAGCTGAAGTAGGCAGAGGTTAGGTGACTTATCCAGGGTCACACAACTAAGTAGTATCTGAGTCTGAGAGAGCACCAGGCCTGGAGTCAGACTCATCTTCCTGAGTTCAAACCTAGCCTCAGCCACTTCTTAGTTGTGTGACCTGGGTATCACTTAACCTTATTGCCTCAGTTTCCTCATCTGTGAAATGAGCTGGAGAAGGAAATAGCAAACCACTCCAGATCCTTCCCTAGAAAACCCCAAATGGGGTCATGGAGAGTGAGACCTGACTGAAAACGCCCCAACAATAACAACACTCACTCACTCAAGCAAACACAAGTATGTAAAATGAAAGGCAAAGTGCTGCTTTCAACAAGCTTACATTCTACAGGGAGGAGAAACTATGTGTACATTTAAGATGGAAAACGATTCAAGCTCTGCGCGTGCACCATGGTACCACCGAGCTGCTCACGTGCGAGCTTTCACTTCTCTTGGCCCTATGATCAGGCCTCCGAGTCACTTTGGACCTGCTCTCCTCCTGTCTCTCAGCCCATGCACTCTTTCCTTATGTCAGCTGGACAGAACCTCCTGGCCTTCATAGGCTGTTCTTGCCCAACAGACAAGGCAGGCAAGAACAACTGCAGAGACGAAGACAAAAGTTCATTCTATTGAGGGAAACAGCATGCAAGCTAGGAGGGGCACAGGGCACATGTGCCACCCCTCCCCTCTTCCTCCAGTGGGGGACCTGCCCTAGCATGGGCAAATCTCAATGTTTATACCAAGCAATGAGCTGCGGTCCTGACAACGACGGCTAACAGCAGCAACGTGCCAAACTGGACACATAGCAGGGCTTCGTGGCAGAGCTGAGACCACCTGGGGCTGGTCAAAGCAATGCAATGGTCACAGGAAATAATTCTGGGATTTTGCTGTGGCTGAGCTCATCCAGAAGGGGAGCCCAAAGGACTGCTGTTATGCCAAGCTCAGGGCACAGCCTGCTTGCTGGGCCTTAGCTCTGGAAAACAGGGTGTCTCCTAATAGCATCTTGACACCTATTAGGGTAAGCAGGTCCACCTTATTTGCACTTAGCAATTAACTAATAAATAATGCCTCGGCCCCCCCCTTCTCTTTCATCTACTTAAGGGCTGGACCCTGTGAGAAATGAGAGTTAAGTTTCCACATAACTAGGTAAGAAATCAGCACAGACAGGCTAACTTCTCTGTGGGAGGGGGGGAATGATAACACAATTCTAGGCACATAATGTATGTTAGGGGTGGGGCATATAAGGAAGATTGTAACCCAGAAGGATTAGGACCAATCCTGATCCAGAAGGGAGGAGTTAGGCAATTACTAACTATAAATTTGCTCTGGCTTCTTTTACAGGGCGCATTTCTCTCCTTCTAAGGTGGTGGGCCCGCTTCTCCCTAGAATCGAGAATGGAAAAAACCCACTTCAACCTCTTTAATAAAAAGTCTTTGAGACACCAGTCTTCAGAACTGAGTCTGAGGTCATCTTTATAACAACCCCATGGAAGAAAATAGCTCCTCACAATGCTATGCCAGACTGCCCTGCCCTTCCTTGAAACACTTGTGTGGAACAAAAAAAATGTGCTGGATTTTGAGTCCAAACTGCAGCTGCTCTTTGGTGTGGGGGAACTGCTTCCTGGAGCCCCCTTGTAATTAGCATCTACACTTGGGCCTCACTCCATCACTGGGGGAATCACCCTCATTTTACTGAAGACATTTCACCCTGACCTCTACTCTTCCTAAATCACTAAACTGTATACCCTTTGACCCTGGCAAAGACCACTGGCAAGCCCACAGCCAAAAGAGCAAAGAAAGCAGAAAAGGTGTCCTGGGACAAAAATACTGACAGCAGCACTTACTGGCTAGAGTGAAGAATGGCCAAGGTACTCCTCCATGGGATCGTTGGCAGAACCTGGGCAACACTGTATATACACTGGAAGACTGCCAAAGACTTCAGGACTCGGAGCGCTGGGAGCATGACCTGGTTTGACCTCCTTTTGCCTGGAGGGGACCCAAGGTAGACCTTATGTTAGGAGACAAGCTGCTTCCAGGCCCTGCCACTGAAACAGATTGTCGGGTTGATTATTCTTTGGGGGTCCCAGGGTGGGGGTAGATGCAAAAGAGCAAGGGATGAGGAGAAAGAAGAGGATGGAGGCTAGATCTTTTCAAGACAAAGGAAATCAAAGGAATCACAGGCAGACCGTGCAATGCTAGTACTGCCACACAATACGTTCCCAGGATCCAGCTCTGTTGGGCAGGTTGGCCCAAACCCATCCAGGTGTCTGGGAAATGGGGCCAAGGACTCCTCTCCTGATTGCTCCGCCCCTCCCAATCCTGTTTCTGGAGGGGTCCTAGTAGAGATGCTCATTTCCCATCTTTCTGTCTCAGGACGGCTCACCCCTCTGACCCCCCAGCTCCTTGCAACTCCCCCGTTTCAAGCTGCGGTCAGAACCTTGTGCTTCGGTGAGGAAGATGTGTTTGAGTCCCGCATCAGACAGGCCCCTTACTAGCTGTCTGGCTAACCTGCCTGCCTCAGTTTCCTCCTCTGTAAAAAGGGGCTGATTCCCCCGCGGCTGGAGTGAGGCCCAAGTGAAGATGATAATTATAAGGTTCCTCCCAAAGCTCGGCGCGGTGGGCTACCCCGAGGAGCAGGGGGGCCCCGGGGGTCTCCCCCACCGAACAGACCCTCGCACAAGGTCGGGGCTCAGTAAGTGCCCTAGCAGGCCCCAATCACAACAGCCGCTGCCAGGCAGTCACCCACTCCGACCTCCCCGAGGCTGCCCATTCCACTGGGGAGGAAGAACTCCCCGGCCTCTTCCTGCCCCACTCCGAAGCCGCGCGCCAGCCGGGCCTCCGTTTCTCAGCCCGTAGAGTTGTGCAGGACCCCGCCCAGCTCGCCAGAAGTCCTCCCTGCAGTGACGCACTTCTACTCTCCGAAGGCACATCTTCCCGTGGTGGCCCGGGCGCGTTCCCGGCACGCCGGGGGCGAGAGCGCGCCCGTCCCAGCCGCCAGTCACCTTCCCAATGCCCCCGCCCTCTCCTCACTGCGCAGACTCAACACCCTCTAGCCCTCCCCCCCATACTTGGCCCCGCCCCGCTCCCTCCCTCCCTCCATCCCTCGCGAGAGCGCCGGGCGGGGCCGGGCTGCAGCGGTGGAGGCGGAGCTGGGGAGAGGCGGGCGCTTAGCCGGCGTCTTCCGCAAGGAGGAGGCCTAGGCCCCCGGGGGCGAGTTGCTCTCGTTGCCTCTCTCCTCTGCGGGCGGCCTCGGGGGCGGCGCCTGCCGGCTGTGACTGAGGCCGCGGGCAATTTCCCGGGTGGAGGCCTCCCACTCGCCAACGGCCGCCCCGACGGGCGCCGCCGCCTGACCCGGCCGGGCTTCCGTCCCCGCGGACCCGGCCTCGCTCTGACGCCGCTGCTTGGCCCGGCCGGGCTTCCGTCCTCGCGGACCCGGCCTCGTTCTGAAGCCGCCGCGGCCTCTTGGCCCGGCCGGGCTTCAGTCCCCCGTGTCCCCGCTCGGACCGCCCGCAGGGAGCGAGGAGGGGAGAGGCCGGCGCGGCCCCCGCCTCGCCTGAGCCCAGCCCAGCCCTGCAGGCCCGGCCCGGCCCGGCCCCCGCGTCGTCGGTGGTCGCCTTGTTGCGTGGCCGGCGGGGGCCAGGGCCGGGCCGGGGCCCGGGGCCTCTTCCCTCTCTCGTCCCCCCTGCCCCCCAGCCGGAGGAGGCCGGGCCGGAGCCGGCGGGGAGTGCCCCACTCCGCCCCCGCGGCCCCGCCCGCCCGCCCATGGCCCGCCGCTGCTGCGCGTCTTCGGCCCATGGATTTGTGACTGAGCCGGACTCGGAATAATCCTCGCCCGGCCCGGCGCGGCTCGGCCCGGCCCCCGCCCTCGGCCGCCGCCATGGAGGGCCCGAGCGGCTCCGAGCCGCGGCCCGTGACCCTGGTCATTAAGACGCCCAACCAGCGCTACAGCGACCAGACCATCCGCTGCCCCGCCGAGTGGACCGTGGGCCGCCTCAAGGCGCACCTGGCGGACGCGTACCCCGGCAAGCCCGTGAGTCGGGGAGCGAGGGGGAGTCGGCGAGGTGGAGGGGCGTGGCTCCCAGGGCAGGGCCGGGGCCCCCGGGGATCCCCGGCTTCCTCGGGATGCTCGGAGGAGGAGGTGCCGAGCTTGGGGTCCGGCTGTGAGGGCGGCCCCGCACAGCCTGGGGGGGAAGGGTCGGTCCCCACGTGCCCCCGTGCCAGCCCCCGGGGCACCCTGGCCGCTTCGCGGGCCTCCTTGAGCCGATCATATATGAGAATCAGTGGGGATGGATAAGCGGTGGGGTGGGAGGCCTGTTCTCTTCTCAGCCCTCCTTGAAAATGGGCCTTGGTGACTGGAAACCTTGTTTACATCAGGAGTGGCGTCCCTCCTCCTGAGAGTTGAGACCCTTCAGGTGACTCTCTGGGAGACTCGGGCATCTTGTTGGTTGGAAGATTCTCCCTCAATCCCGCTAGAGATGAGGCAGAACTGACCATTGGTAGCCTCGCACTCGCCCCCAGTAGACCGTCGGCACTTCGGTGATGGGACGGCCCCCAGATGCAGACTGCCAATGGCCAGCCACCCAGGGGAATAATTTGTCCTTTGTCTGTATGGGATGGGGACTGTTTCTGTATCTGGAGAAGAATCCTGTCTATATGCATTCAGCAAACAGCCATCCAGAGTCAGTTTACCTAGAGACCTTGGGGCCAGGGGCCTACCTGCCCACCGAACCCCACAGCCCACTCTTGGACGGTTGGTCACCCGGCACGGAAGACTCGTCTCTTGGCCTCAACACCTTGGAACGTTGAGTGGCCTTCCTGCTTTCTTTTGGCTGCTTCCTTGCTGTTCTCTGGTTTCTCGTTGGTGGCTGTACACTGGCTGCTTTGTTTTTTTTCCACCCCCTTCAGTTTAAAGCCTCGAATTTAAGATTTAGAAGCAGACCCTTAAGAGATTCCTCACCTGGTATCCTCCAGCTTGGTTTTTCGAAATAGTTTGATAACTGTATTTTCATATAATTTTTTCTCCTTTTTAATCTTAAGTATTTCGTTTTATGTATTTAAAAACATTATTATAAGAACAGGTCCACAGTGACACAAAAACTGTTAAGACCCCTTGCTCCAAGTGAAAAAGTGCTAAGTGCTCACCAGTCCTCATTAGCTGTTCTCTATTCTTTTGTTTCTGGTGAGGCAGTCGGGGTTCAGGTGCTTTGCCAAGGGTCCCACAGCTAGTAAGTATCAAGTGTCTGACTCCAAGGCCAGAGTTCTATCCACCGTGCCAACTAGCTGCCCCCAAATTTAATTTTTTTCTATTAATACAGTTTTTTTCTTGGTGAGGCAGTGGGGTGAAGTGACTTACCCAGAGTCACACAACTATTTAAGTGTCAAGTGTCCGAGGTCAAATTTGAACCCTGAATCCAGGGCCTGTGCTCTATCCACTTCGCCATCTAGCTCTTCCCAGCTTTACTCTATTCTTGACCAGGATCTTGTTATTTGTGTGTTTTAAGCCTTAACCTAGGAATTCAAATCCCATTTTCTATTCTTTGTGGGGTTTTTTGTTTGTTTTTAGGCGTTGGTGTCAAGTGACTTGCCCAGAGTCACACAACTAGTAAGTGTCTGAGCTGAATTTGAATCATTTGAATTCGGGTCCTTCAGACTCCAGGGCCATTGCTCACTCTAAACACTGTGCCATCTAGCTGCCCCCCAAATCCTATTAAAAACATTTTTTTGGTATTGCTTTTCCATGTTGCCATCTGAATTTTCTTCTGTTTCACTTCTGTGTTTTGACCCTCCTTTCATTCTTTGTTTTTAAAATGAAAAAAGTACTATTGCTTATCTCCCTCTCTCAATCTCCACATAATCCCCAATTCAGAGCAGGACAAAGAAAAGGAAGAAAAACAAAGCTGTCCTCTGGAATTGTGAATGGGTTGTTGCATTAATCACAGGGCTTAATCATTTCTGTCAGAGTTGTTATTGACAGTGGAGTGAGTAGTCATTGCCTAAATAGTTGTGATCTGCTCTAGTCGCTCTGCCGCTATTCATGTGACTCTTCCCTGATTTCTCCGAATCTGCCCTTTTTATTATTTCTTAGGACCCGGCCATACTCTGTTATGTTCCTGCGTCCCACAGTTTGTTTGACCGCTCCCCAACTGATAGGCAGCCCCTAAGTTTTTAGTTCTTTGCCACAACAAGTAGAACAGCTACAAATACTTTTGTACAGTTTTTCCCCTCTCCTTTTTTCATTCTCTTTGGAGTATTAGTATCACTGCCTCAGAGTATGCCAGGCTTAGTGACTTCCAAAAAGGCTGGATCCACTCCCTGTTCTACTGGCAATGCCTTAGTGTGCCTGACTTCCCGCAGCCCCTCCAGCAACTGTCCAAGGGGGCCCCTCCTTTATTTTGATTTGCATTTTCCTAATTGTTGGTGCCAAATCCTGTCCTCAGACGCTGTTTTCTTAACCAATTCTTCCCTTCTCTTCTTTTTCTCTTCTGAATCCTTTAGAACTGGAGGGAAAGGGACCTTAGTGGTTACTCCGTCTTTTTACCGATGAGGAAACTTGGAGCCCAGAGGAATCAAGTAGCCTGCCATGGTCACAGGCTTTAGGGGACAGAGCTGGGATTTGAACCCTTTGGTGGCCAATCCAGAACTTTCCTTCTTGCTACATGCTGCCTCCTGAGGCAGCCCATCGTGGCTTTCTGCTGGCAGAAGTGATGAAGGCACTAGCTGGCATCCCAAGGCTTTCTGTTTCTTGAAGAAGACTTTCTCAGTCCATCAGTCCACTGGCATTTCCTTAAGCACCTCCTCTGTTGCCAGGCCCCAGGCTTCTCCCCAGTGATACAGAGACAAAAATGGAACTGGCCTGGCTCTCAAGGAGCTTCAGTCTATCGGGAGGAACAGCCTGTACACCTTAGATCGATACTTGGAAGCCGTCTGTGCTGTCATTCTTGGGGAAGCAGCAGGATGTAGGAGGAGAGGTCTTTGGCCATTTTGGTGTCTGGGACCCCTTTGGTAGTTTGTATTTTTTGTTTCTCTTTGCTTATTTTTTTGGTGAGGTAATTGGGGTTAAGTGACTTGCCTAGAGTCACACAGCAAGGAAATATTATGTGTCTGAGGTCTGATTTGAACTCAGGTCCTCTTGACTCCAGGGTCAGGGCTCCATCCAGTGTGCCACCTAGCTGCCCCGCCTTTGATAGTTTGGTGAAGCTTGTGGTCCTTCTCAGAGTCACGTTTTTATATGCTGATTACAAAAGAACCCAATTACATTGAAATGTACTTATCAGACTATTAAAAAAAACCCAACCAATTTCATGGACCTCCATTAAGAACCTGTGGTATAAAGGATCAGGAAAGGCCTCCTGTTGAGAAGAAAGCTGCTAAATTTGGAATCAGGAAAACTTGTGTTCAGATCCTTCCTCAGAAGCTTATTTGCTCCATGACCCTGGGTAAGTCCCTTAACAGGCTCTCACCTCAGTTTTCTCATTTGTAAAGTGGGGATAATAAATATCTACTTAACCAGGTTGTCAGGATCTAATGATGTATGTGTAAACCACTTGACAAGCTTTAACAGTGCTAGCTGTCATTATTATTTTGTTGTTCAGTCTGTCTGACTCTGAATGACCCCATTTGGGGTTTTCTTGGCAGAGATACTTCAGTGGTTTGCCATCTTCTTCAGCTCATTTTACAGATGAAGAAACTGAGGCAAACAGGGTTAAATGACTTGCCTGAGGCCAGATTCAAACTCAGGAATATGAGTCTCCCTGACTCCAGGCCTGGCACACTATCCACTGGGCAACCCAGCTTCCCAGAGTTCAGTACTTAATTCAGTCTTCCTCTCTACCTCATTCTTTGCCCCATTTAGGGGACCTAACCATTCATGCTGATGATCCCTCCAACACCCTGGTCTCCCAGTTCTTCAGTCTTGGTTCCATTGGTGACCTCCTCAACTCAGTCTCAGGGAACATGAAGAGAAGGCCAAACCCTGGGTGGTGGCCAAGTGACATGTGATTCCCACCAAGTCCCATGATCAAGGATCTGGCCATAATATCTTGTGCTATTTTTCTTCTATGCTGCACTTGACCTCTTCTTGATTTTCCCTGTTCCCTCTTCAGACTCTTGTAGGCCCTCCCCCCTGCTCTGGCTTCCTTCCCCTTCCCAATCTAGAGCCTGTCCCACCAGCCCCCTCCTCTGAGCCTACTCACTTGGTCTTGAATGGCGATAGAGGAAGTGGTAGTTTGCTTGGTTTCCAGATAGATGTGTTCACCTCATTTCACCAGGCAACCCTCACTGCCGACAGGCAAGGCAACCCTTTGACTCCTCCCTAATTCTCTGGTGAACTCCTTATAGAGGCTGTTCCACATTTTCTCTTCTCTGCTTCCCCTGTCACCCTTCCCTTGCCCTCACACCAGAGGACCTCAGGTCGTACTGCACTGAGAAAATAGACACCTTCTTTCAGTCCCCCTTTGACAACCACCTCCATTCTCACCTTCATCTCAGTCTTTGATGAAGATGTGGCTTTTCCTCTAGCCAAGGCCAATGTCTCTAGTACCTGGCTGGGTCTGAGGGAGGGGCAGGGGGCTGAAGATCCTTCCAAGGTGAGAGTTACTGACCTGCCGAGATCTGGGAGGAGGAGGTTTCTGGGACACAGTGGAGAAGTCAGGGGTGTAGGTGGCCCTCACAGCCTAATCTTTGATCTCTGTGCCTACCCCTACACTGTTAAATCCTCGCTGGACAGGGCTGTTCCCTAAAACTCCTCTCTCATTTTCTTTCCTTTCAGGGCCAAAAGCCGTCTCCACTCCTTACCTGTTTCCTGCAGTCTGGCTTCTGCCTTCTTCCCCGCTCTTTCTAAAGTGACCAGTTAGCTCTTAATTACGCAGTCAGATTGGTCTTTTGGGTATCCATCGTCCTTAGCCTTTCCGCTGTGTTTCAGCACATTGACCAGCCCTCTCTGGGATTTCCCGACTCTGCTCCCTGGGTGCCGGCTTGTTGTCCCTCTGCTGGCTCCTCATCTGCATCCTGCCCCGTAACCTTGCATGTCCT